GGGAAAATCTCCTACGTGCCTGGCTCCGTCTGGAAAACTGCTCTGGGGAAGGACTGGCTCTGTGCCCACAGCGGTGCCCTCCCCAAATCCTCTTGCCAAGTCCACCTGCACGCAGCACTCAAGGTGTCACACCTGGGCAAAGCAGCAGCACGGGCTGTGCTCACTCACTGCTGCCTCACTGACAAGCCAGCAGAAGCTACAAGTCTTTACCAGCAATTACAAGAACATTGCTGCCTATTTTTACAGCACTCCCCACACAAGCAGCAGGATTTCTACTGCCCAATTAGTAGTTCAAGTTACTATTTAAAGAATGACAGCTTAGGTAAGGAGAAGGCTGCCTGGGTAATCATTTATGTCAAGATCATTGCTGGGATTTGTTCAGGCTGGAACATTCAAAGCCCTCCTTTCTCCATGTAGCAGGTCAATCATTAACTGCTCTTTACTGACCTCTTCAAACCCCAGGCACACACACACCACATCACCAGAGGAACGAGTCTGGCTTTTCCAGCAGTGACTGCCATCTCAGATGGCAGAGAGCAGCTTTCCTTTCATCTTATTTCATGGATCAGACTGAGTCAAACAGGCAAGACACCCCCAGCCACCCTGACAATAGCTCTGTCACAGCCTGCACACCCTCATCTTCCTCCACTCTTTTTTATAGAAGAAAAAAAATGGAGGGGAAAAAAAAAACCCAGAAATCAAGGGCAAAGAACTGGGAGTATTGGTTTAAAAAAATAGCACACTGAAAGACATGTGCAAACAACTGATTCTGCAGTCTGCCCACATAAGAACATGTTTTCTCTTTTTAGGATGGTGTCATACTTCTGGGAACTGGGAGGAGATGTTCTTGCTTTGTACCACTGCAAAAGCAATTTATTCGGGTTTCCCTGCCCTTCCACTTGCACTTCCAAGACCCCCTCTCTGGATGCCTGAAAGCTTCATATGACCAAGGCAAAGCCCCAGTTAAAACTCCCCTTCTCACACCAGCTGTGGTTTCATTTTGCAGCTGCTCTCAGCCAGCACCTTCCCACGACAGCTGCTGATCAGCACAGTGTGTTTCCTGTACAAACTGAATATTTACCATCTTTACTCTTTTCCTGTTTACAGCTTCACACGTGCAGCCCTTCCACAAATCCTAGCTGTCATATCTGCCCAGATTGTGAGGGACCTTCAGACTGCAAGTTCCCCACCCAGAGCTCAGATAAATAAGGGAAAAGAGCTGTAAGGCAGCACCTTCCCCTTTGACCACGTCAGGGCTCGTTAACTCGCTGTAAGTGAATTAGCTTATCATCCCTTTGGTACTCTGCAGCCCTGTCTTAGAGGAAAGCCCTCTGTGCCCCTTATCTCTGCTCTCTGTGAGCAGATTATCAAGTTCAGGACATTTTTCTTTTTTCAAGCACGTTTCAGACTCAAGCATTCAGCTTCCCAATCCCAGAAACATCATAGCAAGGCAAGGCCCTGGACTGATCAAATTCCCCAAGAGCTGATAAGGCCCAGAACGGTGATAAAGACTGTGGAGTCAGCACTTGCACCGAATAAAAGATGCTGCTTCAGTTGGTTAAAGGCCAAGTAGTAGTGTAGTAAAATTAAAATGGGAACAAAGTGCTACTACCAGGCTCCTTGTCAGCGAATTTCAAACATACCTCAGGAGGTGGCCCAACGGGTACAACCCCCCACTCCAGCCCTGTTGCACAACTGCTCTAAAAATATTTTGTTATTTCGGATTTTTTTTCCCCAGGTGCCCATCTCCACCCTCACGTTACTGAGTTAAGAGACCACTGGACCCCACATTTGTACAATGGCTGTGTAAAATCCAACACGAGGAGCCAAGGGCAAGCAAGGGATTCAACAGGGAGACAAGGAGTCCTTCATGAACTGCAGCACTTTCTGGGCAGCTGCTGTTACCTTCAGAGAAGAGCCTGCACAAGGGACAAGGTCTAGTTTTGCCTTTCATTGGAAAGCATCACAAAGTGCAAGAGCTTATGCTGACAAACTGAAAGCCCTGCCAAGAACCTTTGGCTCATTAGGAAAACTCTATTTTTTTTTCTTTGCAATACTTACATGCCCACAGCAGCATTAGGAACAACAAGTGCCCAAAGGCTACTAGTCATGATTTGTTTGCACCAGCCTTCCAGCCAAGTTGGCTGCAGGATTCAATAGGTTACACTGAAAAAGGCAACCATTGGGTCACCCTAATGCCAGCAAAGGGAAAACTCAGTTTGGGGCTGGTAATTGAGAGCCTCCACACACTTTGAGCCAGGAGTCTTCCCCACAAAACTCTTACAGAGAGGACAAAACCAGAGAAAGGAAAGTGAGTCAGCACAGATGAATGAACGTCCCCACACCTCATCACAAGCCATCACCGAGTTCAGAAGTGATGGCCAGATATTTGAGGACAATGAGAACATTTGACTGCACAAATTTCTTCTCAGGGATTAAGCTTTCTTGCCTCAGGGCACAGGTTGGCCACTGGGAGGGAGCAGTTGCCCCCAGGGCAGCAATTTCACAGCAGTCCAAACATTTGCATCTTCCCTGTGGTCTGTGGGCATGTGCACTCCCACGAGGAGAGCCAAAAAAGCCACAGGTTGGTGAACAGGAGTGAGAAACCGAGGTGAACCTCACTGATCTGGGACAAACTGAAAGCAGTCAAGGCAAAGAGCACGAGGTGGGCCCCAAGTGAAGTTCTTGTCAGCAGAGCACATCTCAGGAAGCAGACAAGCAAATGCCTGCTCACAGAGACAGTCAGCATTTGCTTATCAGCTCCTGTGTGTGCTTTATCTGGGTGGCAGAAAGTCTCCACCTGATGGGTTTAATGTGATCTCTTGGCTGTGACAAAGTCTCCAGGATGCAGAGAGAACACAGCAGCCTTGAACAGAAGTCCTGAAGGGTCTCCAGGCACTGGGAGTCTCCCTCACACACAGGAGTGCTCCTGGGGACCCGAGTGACAGGGACACCTTGGGAGCACCGCCCTGAGAGCGGAGCACAGGATGGAGATGGAGCTGCCAACTGCAGCTGATAAAAGACTCAAACATGTGCATGTTTGCCAGGTGCACCAACCCCGGTACACAAAGCAGGGGAGATAAGCAGCTGATGAATGAGCAAAACCCAAAGAATCATCACATCATTCACAGGTACCTTTGTCTGGACTTTGTTTCTCCACACCTCAGCTTTCCCCCACTGTTCTCAGCCATCACTCAGCTGAGGCTCCATGCACTGGCTTCCAACTCTTTTCACAAAGGGCTTCCTCCACCAGCCCCAACGGGCTGATGCAGCCTCAGTCTCCATCACACATCTCTGGACAGAGCCCAAACTGCCTCCCTGCACTCTGCCCTTCCCTTCTCTGAGCACATGCAAACCCTCAGCCACCACAGCAGCTTTCCAAACCCGCACCACACCTTCACCCTCGGGTTCCTTTTAACCCCACTGACCACCCAAACACACTGTGGGGTGCACAATTCTCGCCATGCCCAGGCTGGGGATAGATGTCCACCCCCAGGCTGTTTTACCAGGATTACCATTCCCACAACACACATTTCTCTCTCTCCTTCCAAGCTGTGTCTGCAACAGGGCTGGAGCTGCATTAACTGTGTCCAGCTCCACTCGTGCCAGTCCCTGGAGCCCACAAGAGCAAGCAAATTGGGGAACACACCTATCCAAGGGGACAACCTAATCCTGGGGAGTGCTGTCACAAGGCAGGTGGCCTTTTGAGGCATGCTGAAGCTTTTTCCAGCCTAGGCACACCTCAAGCTGCACTGTGGGGAAAGCAGCTGGCCACACAGCCAGCCAGGGCAGCTTCCCTTACCGGAGAGACCCCAGCACCGGGTGCTTTGGCAGGGAGGGGGTCTGACCCAGCAATGATGCCTGGGGGTCAGAGCCCCCTTCCAGCCACAAAAGCCGGTTCAGAGCCTCCCCCCACCCCCACCCACAGCGCAGGCCCCAGCACAGCCCACAACGCATTTCCTCCATCACCTCCTCCTCCTCTTCCTCATCCCTGCACAGCCCCCTTCCCAGCCCCGCTATCCTTGCCCAGCCCAGCGATCCTCTCTGCGACAAGAGCCACTGCCCACTGTCCCCGCCGCCAGCCGCCCCCCAGTGTCCTCCAGCAGAGCCCACCCCCCACATCACCCCCGCAGCATCCCACAGCCCCAGAGCCCCGCGGCACCCCCAAAGAGCCCCTCAGCATCCCCTCCCTCCTCGCCATCCACCCCCCCACCCACGCTCCCCTCTCCATCCGCTGCCTGCCACTCCCACGCGCGATATCCCCCGCCCTCCCCAGTGCCCCTCTCCCACGCAAACCCCACGGCAGCCCCGGCGCGGTGTCCCCGCCGCCCCCGGTGCGGTGCCCCGCTCACCGCCGCTGCCGCGCCCGCTCCGCTCCGCCGCGGTCCCACCCGGGCTTTTTATCCGCCCTCCGAGGCAAAACAGGCGCGCCCGCTGATTGGCCGCCGCCTCAGCCAATGGCCGCGCGCGCCGCTGCCGCTGGGGCACGTGCCGGTTCGCGCCCCCTCTCCCGGGACCCCCTCACGGGACACCCCCCCAATATCCCACGGGATCCCCCCGGTATCTTCCCCCGGGATACTCCCGATATCCCCCTACGGGATCCCCGATATCTTCCCCTGGGATCCCACAGTATCCCCCGCTCTCTCCTACCGGTACCCCTCGATATCTTCTCCCAGTAATCTCCCTATTTCTTCCCCGGTAATCCCCGATATCTACTCCCCGGTATCCGCTGATATCTCCCCCAAGTACCTCCCACCCCCAGGTATCCGCTGATATTTTTCTCCTCTGGTAGTCGCCGGGATTCCCCCGGTATTCCTGTAGTACTTCTCGATATCGCCCGGGACCCTCCCGGTCTGCAGGTACCTCCAGTACCCTCACACACAGACCCTCACACACAGACCCTCACATACACACCTCACACACACACACACATACACAACCCTCATACACACACACACACCCACACACACACAGACCCTCACACACACACCCTCACACACAGACCCTCACATACACACCTCAGACACAGACCCTCACACACACACACCCGAGCGCTGGTCGGGCTCGCCGCCTTCCAGGGAAAAGCGACAAACCCGGGAAGGGCGGCGGGAGGTGAAGCGGCTCCCCCGCCCGGCCCGGCGCGGGGACAGCGGGACCGCCCCGCGGGGATCGCTGCCGCTCTCCGCCGGTCTCCGCCGGCCCCGGGCGGCAGCCGCGGGAGCCGCACCGCGCTTACCGCGGAGCGGCTGCTGTGAGGGAGGACAGCCCCGCCGAATACCGGGAGCCGTGTGGGGAACGGCACCGCGGCATGGCTCGTCTGCTGTGGGTACGAGCACCGGATCTGTCCTGCGAAGTCTGCCTGTCCTGCTCAAGGAGAGACCTGAGAAACTGCTCCACCCCATTAAAAGGGTATTTTGGGAACAGGCATCCAACGCAGCCCTGGGCTGACCACCGTCATGGGACAGATGGACAGGGGCAATGAGCCCTCGAGACACCCCAGCCCACAACACAGCTCATTCAAAGAGTCACAGAAAGGTTTGGGTTGGAAGGAACCTAAAAGATCGTCTCGTTCCACCCCCTGGCATGGGCAGGGACACCTTCCACCAGATCAGGTTGGTCCAAGCCCCATCCAACCTGGCCTTCAGCAGTTCCAGGAGTGGGGCAGCCACAGCTTCTGTGGGCAACCTGTGCCAGAGCCTCACAGCCAAGAATTTCTTCCCGGTATCCCATCTAACCTGCCCTCTGTCAGCTGTTCCCCCTTGTCCTGTCACTTCATCCCTTGTCCAAAGTCTCTCTCCAGCTCTCTTGGAGCCTCTTCAGGCACTGGAAGTGCTATAAGGTTTCCCTGCGCTCTTCTCCAGGCTGAACACCCCCAGCTCCCTCAGCCTGTCCATAGCAGAGCTGCTCCAGCCTCTGATCATCATTGTTGCTTCCTCTGGCCTTGCTCCAACACATCCCTGTCCTTTTTATGTTGGAATCCTCACAGCTGGACACAATACTCCAGGTGGTATCTTAGGTGGGCAGGGTAAAGGGGGAAAATCCCCTCACTAAACTTGTTGATCACTGCTGAGGATACAGCCCAGCTTCATGAAATAAAGTAATACCATTATAAGCCAGCTTCACATCTGACTTCACCACAGCTCTGCTTTCTTTTTTCTGTTAAATTATTTTTCAGAGCATTCCTCTGAGGTATTTCTACACCTTCCATAAATCCTTCCCTCAATAGGGAGGTCCTGGGTCAGAGGACATGGCCATAAATCCCTAGAATCTTTATAGGGGATATTTTCTCAGCCAAAGGAGATGAAAACAGCATTTGTGGCAGGTAAACACCCCAGAGGAAGCAGAGGGCCCCAGACAGACGGACGTGTCCCCACCACTCCATCCCTGTGGCGGGTGGGAAGAGGAAACTCCTCAGCCTTGGCTGTGGAAGAGGGATCAAACGTTTCAACAGCTGCAAAAGTGGATTTAAGCCAATGCAAACAAACAAACAAAAAGCCCAAAGAAAACAAGGCAGCCTGGGTCGGTGCCAGGTGTTTAGCAGAGGTAGAAGAAGGCTGAGCAGCACGAGACCCAGGAGACCTCAGCACCCAGACCTGGCTGCTGTGTCCGAGAAACACAAACTGTGACGGGGAGGAGCATGAGGAGGGTTCGGAGGCTGTTTGGGGTCACGGGAACCCTTTGCCTCAGCAAGAGCAGGGAGGGCTCAGTTTTCCTATCCTAGAAGGAGAAAAGCTATCAGGTGATCCGTGGCCAGCTATAAATACCCTAGGGATTGAGTAAACAGCATGGGGAGAAAAAAAATAAAGTGCAGCCGAAGAAAAGCACTGACACAGAGACGTGTTTTTAGAAACTGGCCAGGAATGAGTTTAGCTGGGAGGGAGGTGACAGCTCCTGCTCTGGCACAGGCACTGGGCTAAATGATGTGGTGCTCTTCAAAGGCTTGGGCAGTTTGAGAAAGGAGATGACAAGGCTGACAGGATGACAAGGACAGACCACCACAGGACAGACCTCAGGAACAGCTCCAGCCTCTGCTGCTGCCCCAGCAGAGCACACAGACACCTCTCTGCTTTCAGACAGCACCTGCACGTGAATCTCTTCCCACTGCCTGCCTTCCAAACACTGCAGCAGCTTTGGAAAGTCAGAAATCCAGCACAGGAAGAGATTCCCCTGCCAGATCTGCCTTGCTGACCTCCCACAGCCAGAGCTAAACCACCGGCACAGCCGACGGAAGCATCCCCAGCAAGCAGACACCAGCGCAGCCACGCTGCAGGAGCGTGCATGGGCAGCCACACGCTGGAAATCTGCAGCTCGTTCCCCTTTCACTGCCCAGACACAGCCAAGATGCTTCATCTTCAAGCAGGGGAAACATCCTGGCTCCATGGACAAGGAAGGTTTTCTCAAACCGGGCGCTGGTTTGAGGCTGTCAGGTTGTTGTCAGCTATTTACATGCTGCACCCAGAGTGAACTGGCTCATGTGATGTTCACTTCTGGCACAGCACTGCTCAGCTCACAGGCTCAAAATATCCATCCCATTAGGGAAAAAAAAATGGTTGCTTATAAATCAAATGTGGGACTGTCCCTGCCGCTGTCATAAAATGGTGTCAAAACAAAAGCAAGCCCGTGCAGAACAGGCTGCTGCTCCAGTCCTGCCAGGATGAGCAGTTTTATTTGGATGCCAGAATATTTGGTGTTATAATCACAGCAGCAGATGATTCCACTGCAGGAAAGGGTGCTTTGTGCTGGCTGCAAAACTGGAAGCTTCAGCCAGGTCAGACTGTGAGAATTTGGTGCCTTGTGCTGTGGAGAAGCACCCATGGGAAGCAAAAGGGAAAAAGCAAAACCCACTGTGTTTTCTGAAACACCCCAAACCCTGAAGCCAAGCTGAGCAGTGCCAGACCAGAAGGATTCATGTGGAGCTCTGCACATGATGTGTGAGGTGCAGGCTGCAGCAGAGGGGCTCTGGACATTCACAGCCCACTCACATTCCTCCTGCACTCCTGTCTTGGGCTTTGCACAGGGCTCAGCTCAGTGAATGAGAATTCAGAATTCAATAGAGACAGAAAATCTAAAAAAAAATTCCCAAACAGAAAGCCTAAGGCTGCTGACAGTTTCCACACTCTGGAGAATATTCCTGGTTGTATCTTTGACTCAAAGGGTAGCTGGGAAACCCATGTCCTGAAGGGCATTTAATTTTCATTCCAAGGCTTTCACACAACGCAAAATAACATAAAAAATACACAAAAACCTTCTACTACTTAGATACATCTAAAACCAGATCACTCTGCAAATCCTCTTTGGCATCTCAGCTTGCCTCCACAGCAGGAATGAGGCGTGGGAGGTGGCAGGAGCTTAGGGCACCCATGGAAACCCCACTTTCCTGGCAACTTCCCTCCTTATCAGCACGGCGCCAGGTGCACAGGTTGATGGTCACTGCCCAGCTGCCACGTTTGCACAACTGCAGCTTGGAACTGTGTGGAGTTTAAAAGGCTGTCACTACACCCTGTGTCCTGCCACAAGCTTTTCCACATGAAAGCAAAGGCAGCCAGGGCCTGCCACAGAAGCCAGAGCCACACAGATAAACCCCTGCAGACCCAGATACCCTTTGAGATAAGCAGCTAAAATTAATATTTTTTTCTGAAGCTGCTTGTGACAGCCCATCATCTCTCCTCAGCCCAGCTCCACAAAATAATCCCCTTCAGCGAGAAACACCTTTCCAGCAAGAGGCTCCGAGCTGCATCACAGGAATTGGGACAGGGAAAGGTGAAAACTGATGGGGTGAGACTGGATTTTGTGCATGCATTTCTCAGCTGGGCACTCAGCAGCCCTGCACTGGATATGTCCCCAGTGGTGACAGGGACTTGAGGGTGCCACCACAGCATCCAGAGCATCGCTGTCCCCCGGGGCTGTGCAGACACAGGCTGGTAGGGCAGGGAGGAGCAGAAAACAGCCCCACAGGCTGTCCCTGCTGTGGCCCCAGCGAGGCCGCAGAGCAGAGGGGGTCACCAGGAAGGCTCGAGGCTTCTCTGGTTCACAGCTCGGAGCGGGCCCCCGGCTGTCCCAGGCTGGGGCTGGAGGAGCCCGGTGGCTCCCGCGGCCCCAGCCCGGGGGTGGTGGCTCAGGTGGCCGGAGGGGCGGCCGGCAGCTCTTTGCCGGGGCTGGAGGGCGAATCAGCACCGCTGCTGGCCACGTTCTCGTATTTCGGCTCTTCCTCCGCGGCAGCCTGTCCCTTCCTTTCGAGGCTGCCAACTACCTCTTGGCTTTTGCCCTTCTCTGTGGCACCTGCGGTTTCGCTGGCCCCGTCTTGGGCACCGGTGTTTTTTGACGAGAGAGATGCAAGGAGGAGGGACAGTCTCTTCGCAGCGGGATGCTGCTGCTTGCCAGGGGCTGACTCGGCGGGAGCCCCCGGCACACTGTCCCTCTGCTTGCAGCTGTTCTCCGAGTCCCTGCGCTGCGCCAGGGCCCGGCGAGGAGGTTTCTGGATGGCCTCCATGCTCCTCCTCACCTTGGGCTCCTCCTTCGCAGCCCACTTGCCCCTCTGCAAGCTGCCCAGACGCTTCAGCACAGCCTGGACCGGTCCCTCGCCAGTCCCCTCCGCCTTGGGGTCCTGCCCGGCCGTGCCCACCATCATGTAGATGGTGGTGACATTGGGCTCCTTCCCCTTCGCCTCCCAGCTGCCGCATTTCGCAGCTGCTTCCAGCGCCTCCACTCTCTGGGCCACATGCCTGGTGCTGGACACCACCCTGCGGCGTCCCCCCGGGGTGGCCCGAGGCGATGGCCGGTGGCTTTCGTCCCCCTTGCCGAGGGGCTCGGGGTTCTCGTAGCAATCGCTGGCCGGGCTCTCGCTGGGGGGCTCGGCCGCCGCGTCCCCCGGCGGTGGGGTCAGCCTGGACGGGCCCCACGGGGCCTTGGGCTTCCGGCTGGGGCTGGGGGTCTCGGCAGCCCCGAATTTTGTCCCCTCGGCGAAGGACACAGAGGGTCGCTTGGCCTTGGCGATGCTGGAGGTGCGGGGGATGGCGAAGGACTGCGAGACATCCTCGGAGTCGAAGGCGGACGGGTCCGGGAGCGCCTCGCCAGGGGGGGATGCCCCCTCCTGCAGCTCAGCCCCGCCCAGCAGCGGGATGCCTGTGGGACAAGGTGACACGTGTTACGGCCGCCGCAGCTGCCACCCTGCCCGGGGACATAACTGGGGACACTGGGACAGGAGCTGATGCAATAGGATTGTCCCTGGGATCGTTTCCCAGGGAGGAGGTTGTGAAATGGGGTTGCCCCACTGGGCACGTCCCATCGCACGCAGCCAAACACAGCCCTGCAGACAGGGAAACAAGGACAAGGAAATAAACACTGTCTGTGCCAAGCACAGCTCCCTGGGACGGCCAGGATTGACCCCAGAGGTGATCAGAGAGGAGGAGGAGCAGCCATGGGCGTCACCTTCTCTGGGCGGGACGGAGTACTCGGGTCCCTCGTTGTCGGTGTCGAAGGAGGAGAAGGAGCTGTCTGACACCCATGCAGACGATGGGGGCTCGATGAAGCTGGGGTTGTAGGGGATTTCCATGTCGTGATGGGAGACTGGGGAAGAGAATAGACCCAGGAGAACTTGAGCACGCCAGGGTGCTCGGGGGAGCAGGGTTTCAGGCTTCCCCCCAGGTAGAGAGCACAGAGAGTGCAGCACTTCTGGAAGTGCTGTCTGCAGCTCTGCTTTGCTCACCTGTGACTTTGGGAAGTTTTGAGGTACCCAGGTTAAAGCAGGGCATGAGAGCACTGAGGTTGGCCAGCACCCCCTGCACGTGGTGCTTCATCCTGGCCACCACATCATCATCTGGCACAGCTGCCCTGCAGAGCAGAGATGGACATCAAGGGACACAGGAGATGGGGATTTGTGTCAAAGGCTGAAAAATGGGAAAAAATACCTGTCTCTGGCATCTGCTGAGCTGGCACCACAGCAGCAGCAGGCGACACAGAGCAGCAGCAGCAGGAGAGGGACAAGGATGGCAGCTGCAAGGGCTCCATGGTCCTTCAAACCTGTGTGAGGAGATGAGCTGAGTCTGGCATGTCCTGTGGCTGTGACACCTACAGAACAGCCCTGCATGGAGAGAGCAGGAGCTGACAGCTGCCAGTGGGGCCAGGAGGCACCAGGATGCATCCCAGCCCCCCAGCATCTTCATGGATATGACCGTCCCTTGCCCAGTGCCAAGGAGTAAATGTGACGTTTATCTTACTCAGCACACAGTCACCCTGCACAGGGTCACAGGTCCCCCGGGAGCACTGGCAGGGTGAGGAACAATTCACTCCAAAATAGCCCTCGGGACAGGTGTCGTTGCAGCTGGAAGAGAGAGGAAAGGAGGGAGATGCCCCCAGAAAGAGTGAGGCTCCAGCCCAGCCCCACTCCCAGCATTATCCCAGCATTTTCCTGGCATTACCTGTCTCCCCAGTAGCCTGCCTGGCAGATGCAAACTCCTGTCACAGGGTCACAGCTCCCCGAAACACACTCGGGGCAGAGGAACTGGCAGCCATCACCAAAGGTGCCCATGGGGCAGGAGCTGTTGCAGCTGCCAAAACAGAGCAAAGCATCAGCGACTGTACCCCAGAGCAGGGACACCCCCAAGGACCAGGGGCCTCACCCTGGACATACCTGGGTCCTGTCCAGCCGGGGTCACAGCGCAGGCAGGACCCGCTCTGGGGGTCACAGGGCTCCCCGTGCTGGCAGCGGGGACACGGCTGGAGGCAGCCATCCCCATGGAATCCAGGAGCACAGGGATCCTTGCAGAGGGTCCCGTTCCAGCCAGGCTGGCAGGCCAGGCAGAAACCATCCACAGGTGAGCAGGGCTGGCTGCGCTTGCAGCTCCCACAGCTGTGTGGGCAGAGAGGCACTGAGGTCACAACGCCCACCCTTGTACCCCTAAAAAGCGGCTTTCACACCACAAAAAACAGGTTTCACACCACAAAATCATTGAGCATCATTTTGGACTGAGGGCAAACACAGTGGTGCCTAATGCTCTGTGGTAGCAAGAGGAGAGGAGGGCAGCAGAATCACAGGATGTCCTGAGTTGGGACATGCTGCTTTACCACCATGGGGAGCAAGATTAAGGACGACCAGATTTTAGGGTGACACTTTCTGCTGGCATTAGCAAGATGTTTCTTTTGGGGCAACTCTGATGCTGCATCCACCCTGGGATGCCCAAACCCATGATGGGTCTCCCTGCCCAGCCAAAAAGGGACAGAGAGGTACAGTGCCCTCCCCCAAGATCTGACTGCAGTCCGCTGGATCGCTCTGCTCCTCCATCTCACCTGTGCACGCACTGAGATCCGTATTTCCCTGCGGGACAGGGGTCCCGGCAGCTCCTGCCCTGGTAGCCGGGCTCGCAGCTGCAGTGGCCGGTGACAGGACTGCAGGAGCCGTGCCCGCAGTCGCAGCGCCGCTGGCACGCCGGTCCCCAGTAGCCAGGCAGGCACTCGCACTTGCCCGTCTCCTGCGCGCAGGGCGAGACGTTGCAGGAGCACTTGAAGCTGCATCTCCTGCCCCACCAGCCCGGCAGGCAGCGGCACAGCCCGCTCAGGGGGTCGCAGTGGGAGGTGGAGGGGTTGCACTGGCATTGCTTCCTGCAGCTCGGTGCCCACCAGCCCGGCTCGCAGTGGCAGGCGCCGGTCAGGGGGTCGCAGCGGCCGTGGGGGCCGCACTGGCAGGGGAACTGGCAGAGCCCACCCCAGTGGTTGGGGTCGCAGGTGCAGTGGCCGCTGACGGGGTCGCAGCGCCCGTTGGGGTGGCACGGGCAGCTCCGCTTGCAGTCGTGGCCCCAGTACTGCTCGGGGCAGCCTGCGAGGGGAAAGGACACAGGCAGGGTGGGGAGAAGCCCGGCAGCCCCCCGAGCATCCAGCTGGCTTTAAAGGGGGATGGCAGGGGCTGAGCGCGGGGAGGGCACTCACGGGAGCTGCAGTCTGCTCCGAAGAAGCCGGGTTTGCAGCGGCACAGCCCGGGTTTCACGCACACCTCGCCCTCTCTGCAGGCGTCCTCCCCCTCGCACACGGCTGTCGTGGCAGGAAAGGCACTCAGCTCTCTCTGGTCGGGGCTCACACACCACCTGCCACCCACCAGCAAGGACAGCATTCCCGGGGAAAGCACCATCCCATCCCTCTGGCTCAGCTGCAGCACCATCAGCACCTGGAGCTCCCCACTGGCACCGCTCACGGAGAGCTGAGGTTTCCCCCAACACCCAGAAGAATCCGCCCGGATGAGCGTGGGGACCGTGCTTTGGGGTTCACCCCATCCATCACTCACCGACCGTGCACGCCCTCCCCTCCTGCCTCCAGCCGGGACAGCACTCCAGGCCGGCCGGGAACCTGCGGGAGAGACCGGGGGTGTCAGCCAGGGCGGGGGACCAGGGCGGCTCCACGGCCCCGGCCAAGGCGAAGCGATCCTTGCCCCAGTGCTGAGAAGGCGGTGTGGCCCCCAGGGCAATGCTCCGGAAGGAAACCAGAAAAATAGAAGGAAATTTAGGAGGCTGCAGCTCGGGTGGGCGGCTGGGCTGGGCTGGGCTGCCCGAAGTGCTGGGAATGTCCCCAAGGAGCCGTGCCGGGTGTCCCATGCCCTGGGAGAGGCTCAAAGCTTCACCAGCAGGGAAGAAATGAGGCACTGAAGTGAAGGCCATGAAAGGTGTCACCACTGATGGGAGACAATGGGAGAGGCAACGTGGCAACAAATTCAGGGGACACCAGTCCCAAAGCTCTTTGGGGTTTGCTACAGTGACATTTCCCCACAATGAGTTCTGCCATGGGTCCCGTATTGCCCCGTTGCCCTGCACTCTGAAGGTGAATGAGAAATAAGCCCTGGAGAAGGGGCCTGATGCCCCAAATGCCCAGACATGCCCCAGCCACGCTCCCCAGCACCACCCCAGTCTGCACCCACCCCGTGCCAGGCTGCACATCTCTGTCCCTGGGAGGAGAGATGGACACCAACCCTCTGGGGCTGCTGAGAGGCCCCAGGAGATGGAGTGGCACAGGTGGGGACCCCCGTGGCACCTACCTGCAGACGTTCCTGCCCTCAGGGTCGAGCTCCTGGGCCGAGCTCTGCACCCACAGCCACAGCTGGAGGCAGAGGATGGGCCGGGCGCTCTCCATTCCAGCAGGGCACCAGGGCCCCAGTCCTGGTGGCTCCCCAGCCCCACGCTGGTGTCCCTCTGTCCCGTCTGTCCCGTCCCACCCGTGGGGCGGCCTCTTCCTCCCTCCAGCCTTGGGTTTCTTCCTGAGGAAACGCGGGAGGAGGCGCCCCGATCCAGACGTCAGGGTGCGGCAGGGAGGGGGAGCAGGGAATGCTGCTGCCCGGGCTATTTCTGGCCCTGCCACAGAAAGGGGCACCCAGGGGCTCAGCACAGCCACACGGGGGTGGGACCTGCCTGAACATCTCACCTGTGTCACCCCACTCCTCCTGTGCCATCCTCCACTGCCCCCAAAACTGCTTCAGCCCATGTCCCCCCAACCCAAACAAGGTGTCCAGTGCCACCCCCTGCCTCAACCCCCATGAGCCACCTCATGGCACTGCCAGCTCCTGGCAGGGGCTCAGAGGAGGGGTCCCCATGTCCCCCATGGCAACACAGCCTGACCTATGTTGGCCTTTGCAGGGCTGCTGGCCACTGTCCCACCTCGCCACGTCCCCAGGAGCTTTGTGTCAGCAGATGCACAGGAAACACCTTTTTCCTACCCAAGGCCAGCTCAGCCGGGGGGGCTCCGGGTTAGAAGCACAGTGCTCCCCTTGGCCATGCAGGAATTAACTCCTCCATGCCCAGCACTGTGGGATCACCCCCCTGGAGCCCCCTTCCCCATCACAGCTGACCCACCAGAAGGGGCTCAGGGGGCACAGCCATTAGGAGAAGGGTAAGGGAAACCTGGGAGCATCATCCAGCCCTCCCCAAGCAGAGCAGAGGCTGCAGCCAGAACCTCAGAGGAAAAACAAGAGACTGATTTATTTCCAAATTAAAGGTAGAAAGTACCTGACCTGAGGGGACTGACTCGCCCCCATGAACACAAGGATTGTTCCAGTCTGCCAGGTCCCAGAGGTGGCAGGAAGAGGTGCCAGTATAAAACTGATTCACCCCATGCCTGAGAAGTGCAGGAGTGGCCCTGGTGGTGCTGATCCTGGTGGCTCCCAGCCACGGGAGCACCTGGACACCCAGTGCAGTGTGCTCAGCCCCTCCCAGCCATGTGGGGACCCCAGGACACACCAACTGGACCTTCACATTGCAGGGATTGGGGAGAAAGGAGTGAGGTAAAACACCCACAGAGCAGGATGGGGCAATGGAATGGTGGGCTGTGAGCAGAGGGCTTTGCAAAGAGCCACCAGGGGATGAAAGATCCCTTTTGGGGTGTGGAGAATGAAGAGGGTGCAGACCCCCACCATGCTGAGCTGCAAGCAGGGAGCAGTGGGGAGGGGGCACAGCTGAGAGGGCCCCTCTGTAGCTAAACTGTGGGCACAGTGAAAGGGTGGCTGGTGGGCAGAGATGCCCAGAGGTGCTGAGCTGTCCCATGCCAGGCTGGCAGCCCACATCCAGGTGTCCCAGTGGGTTTGCAGGAACCTGCCCAAGCTGGAGCTTTGCCACCACCACGGCACAGGGAAGTGCCAGGGCTGCTGTGCTGCTCTTGAATCCACAGGAAGAAGAGGATCCAGGAAGGTCTGCTGCGAGGACAGATCCTGCTCCCGTGGGGTCAGAGTGGTGCTGTGGCTCTGTCAGGGCAGCTGGGCCCTGCCTTGCTCTCTCCCTCTGGCTCCAGCTGTGTGTCCAGTGAGTCAATGATTTCCCAGGTTCCAGAGCAGCGGGATGTGGAGGGGTCTTTGCTGCTGCCCTGATACCACAGCCCAAAACTGCAGAGAGAGCAGATAAGGGCTGTGGGGGAGAAGAACCTCCTCAGGGAAGATGCAGAATCCCAACCTCCCTCTGTGCTGGTGGCAGCAGGACACAGCCTGGCTGTGGGCCCTGGGAGCGTGTGGCACCCACGACAAGGCAGATCCCCCTAAAACAGCAACCCCTGCTTTGGCAGCATCCCTGCCAGCCCTGCACCAGCCTGCTGACTCTGTTCCCATCATATCCAAGCTCCACAGCTGCCAAGCCCCAAACCTCTCCACTGGCAGAGCCTCCTGTCTCTACCGGCACAGGAGCAAACTTACAAGCTCCTGATTTTGGATTCTGGAGGCTGAGCATCCACACAGTCTGTGCCATGACCTGGGAGCCAGGAGCCCTCCTCTTCATCACTGCACAAAGAAATGGGGGTAAACCTGCACTGAGCCACAGCAGCAAGTGCTGGAGCCACTCTGGAGTTTGCCCAGTGCCACCACCTCACCTCCCTTTTGTCACATGCATGCAGGGACAAGTGGCATTTGGCCAGGCCGTGCCTGACTGGTGACAGGGACACATGAGCTACAGCACAAAGCCCAGCCCCTGTGGCACAGCTATGCCAGAGCAACACATCAACTGCAGACATCAAACCTTTGATCTCTGGAGGGAGGAGGCAGCTCTGGGCTTGGGGAGACTCCAATCCAGGGCATCAAGCACATGGAAACCCTGGAGCAGGCCAGCCAGCACCCACCCTGCACGGGAGGATCCCAGCACCCAGCCTGACTCACCTGCTTGCCGACTCCTCCGTCGTTCCCAGCATTTTGGCTCTGATTTTTTTCCTCTGCTTTTTGATATTTGACTTCATTGCATCCAGGAAGAAGCTGGGAATTCTCTCCTCGTTCAGCAGCTCCCTGGTAAAAAGCAGCCAGCTGGTTAACCAAGAGCCTGGGTAAGATTCTTCCCTGACTGTGGTGGGAGCAGCCTCTGATGGGCCAGGCGTGGCTGCAGGGACAGGACTCACCTCTGGTAATAGGCCAGCTCCTCCTGCACCAAAAACAGGTTGGTCTTGAGCTCATTCCTCTCTTGCAGGATCTGCTGCAGCTCTTCCTTGGAGAAGCAGCAGTGAGCAGGGCTCCTGCCCTCATCCAGGTGCTGCGGCTCCTCTGAGGGTGACAGGGCTCCCTCCTGGAGGGGATGGAAAGAGAGTCAGCAGGCAAGCAGAGACCTCAAAACCCCCACCCAAAGGCTGAGTGCACATGCAGGCAAAAATGGAAAAGTCCCAGGAATGTCCCCATCTCAGCCAGCAACCACTGTCCATCACCACACATGGCAAACCCCTCATCCTCTGTGTCCCATCTACTTTTAACTCCTGTCATCTCATCTTGCTCCACCCATAACAGCTTCTACAGAGAAGGTGTTAGTGGCACTGCAGACATCACACCGTTCAGTTTTCAGCTGTGGAGTTTCCTTGAGCAGCCACATCTGTGTGTGCCAAGAGCTTCACACAAGGCTGGGAACGTGAGGTCAGTGTTGGTGATGCCCAGCGGCAGCAAGGCCACAGCTCAGACTCACCACGCCAGGCTCTGGTGTGGATCAGGTCAGACTCACCAGGCTCTGGTGTGGGGTCAGCTCAGACTCACCAGGCTCTGGTGTGGGTCAGCTCAGACTCACCAGGCTCTGCTGTGGGTCAGGTCAGACTCACCAGGCTCTAGTGTGGGTCAGCTCAGACTCACCATGCCAGGCTCTGGCTGCCGGCTCTCCAAGGCTGTCCTGCTCCTCCTGCTTGTTTCCCTCTGGCTTTGCAGCATCGCAGCCTCCAGGTCTGACTTCTGCTCCAGAGCACTCTTGAGCTGGGCCTGCACCACGGCCACCTTGTGCCGCAGCTCCTCGTTCATGGCCATGAAGCGATGGAGCTGTTCCTGCAGCTGGAGGGCCCAGGGCAGCCAGAGGTGAGGCAGTGCCCCCACCCAGGGACACCAGTGCCACCTGCCCCAGCAGGCTCAGCAGCTGTGACAGCCCCGGGCGGGGGGATGTGACATGAAAGCAGATCCCCGGGCCCTCGGCACACCACACCCCTGAGCTGCCCCGCCCTCACCGCCTCCGTGTCCCGGCTCTTGCAGACGATCTCGTGGGCCTGGGCACGGAGCTCGTCCCTCTGTCTGTCCACCACCTCCTTCAGCCGCAGCATCACCTCCCGCTCCTTCCGTGCCGTGCTGTCTGAGAGCAGACAGGGTGGACAGGAGTGAGAGTCCCCAGGGACTCCCCCAAGCCCACGACCCTATGAAGTTCCTCAGTGCTTCTGCAAAATCTGACTTGTTCCTGGTAATCTCACAGTGGGAAAGAAGGAACTGAGAGTTTTAGACCATTCCTGGAACATCCTTGTGTTGCCACAGCAGCCCAAACCCTGTCCTGCCTCCACCACCCTCCTGGGGGCTTTCAAGGTGCTCTGGAGGTTTGGGATCTCTATGACTTGCAAAACAAGGTAATGCCTATGCTCTCTGCTAGGACAGGTCTCCAAGGTGAGGGAAAGGAGAGCAGCATTCCAGGCTCCAGAAGAACAGGTTCAGCCTTGCACCCAGCCTGCCGCTCCACAGGGACACCCTGTGGCATCAGGGGACCCCAAACCCACGGGGACACCCACCTTCCTGGGACTGGCTCTCGGCAAGCTGCCCCAGGAGCTGGCGGTTCTGCTCCTCCAGGCAGGCCAGGCGGCCGTGCAGGGCTCGCTCCCGGCGCTCGGCCTCCCACAGCCTCTGCTCCGGGTCCTGGGGTACGGGGACACCGGGTCAGAGCCACCCCCGGCGGCAGTGACAGCCAGATCGGCCAGGCATCAGCCAGGCCAGCGCTGTTCCAGTGGATGGTGACAGCCAGGTCAGAGGTTTCCCAGGGGATATGGGACAGTGGGGTCACTGCCACAAGCCCGGAAAGGGGGACAGCCGGGTCAGACCCATACCAGAGGACAGGGATAGCAAGATCAGAACCGTCCCAGGGGATAGGGGACAGTGGGGTCAGTGCCACCACCCCGGAAAGGGGGACAGCTGGGTTAGAAGCAGCCCGGGGGGACAACTGGGCCAGACAGGTCTGACCTATCCCAAGGGATGGGGGACAGTCGGGTCAGACCCATGCCAGAGGCCAGGGACAGCGAGATCAGGGCCGTCCCAGGGGACGGGGGACAGCAGGGACAGCCATCCCCTGGGAGAACGGAACAGCCACAGCACAGCCGTCCCAGGCGATGCAGGGCAGCGGGGCCAGAGCCATCCCCTGGGAAAAGGGAACAGCGGGGTCGGAGCCGTCCCACAAAACGTGGGACACGCGTGTCAGCCCCCTGCCCCGGGAAAAGCCAACAGGCGGCTCGCTGCCACCGGCGCAGCTCCCGGCTCCCCGCTCACCTCCGCCTCCTGCGGCCCGGCCGGCGCTGCCGCCGCCTCCCCCTCAGCGCCCGGCGGGGCCACCAGCGCCTCGAGCAGCTCCAGCAGCCGCACCACGGGCGGCACCAGCCCGGCCACGGCGTCGGGCCCGAAGCGGGCGGAGAGGCGGCGCAGCTCGGCGCCCAGCGCTCCCGCCATGCGATAGACGTGCGGCGGGGCCAGCCGCGCCGGCGGCGTTCGCCACAGCGGCTCCGCCATGGCCCCGGCCCGCGCACGCTCCGCGGGCCCGGCCCGCCCCGTCCGGGGCCGCCCCGAGGCGGGACCTCAGCGCTCCCGGTCGTACAAAATTTATTGAGCGGAAAAGTGGGAAAAACAACAACGCGCGGGGTGAGGGGGGCGAGCGGGGCACAGTGGAAGGAGCGGGGCACACGAACACGCTGTTGAATATCAACAGTACTAAGAGGGGCGCGGGCAGGATTAGGCGTAGAGATCCTCGCGGTCGGCAGAGTAAACCTCCCCCTCCTGCAGCAGCGCGAAGTTGAGGAAGTGAGAGGGGCGATGGACCTCGTGGTAAAACTCCTTAGGGTTGGCGAGCTGCAGCTCGTACTTCATGTTGGGGTCGTGGCGGACACCTGGAACAGAGGGAGTGTCACCCACCTGAGCACCCTTCAGGAGCCTAACAAAGCCCTCCACCCTTCTACAACCATTTCCCTGCCAGGAGAGAGAGAGTTCTAAACCCAAAAAATCATCCTGCTTTGCGCTCCTCCTCTCAAGAGATTTACAATCCTTTTATGCTAGTCGAGTGTTCTGTCACTGTCATTTCCTGACCCTTCCTCCAGCTGCCCGTGGTGTTCATGATACCAGGATCTCCCTACTGGGAACAGCTTCTCTCTTGCATTTTCCATTATCTCTTCTGCCTGACAGAGATTAATTATTCAGTGGCGATAGACCATGCACTACAATCCTGACAGACATAGGATCCATTTTTCCTCTCGAGCCACCCAAAAAAAAAAAAAAAATCATTGAACTGACATCCCAATGCTGGTACTAAGGAAAGTTCAGGGCACAGTGCTGGTATCCCTGCCAGCCACTCTGAGGAAGTTTTGGAGTGGGTAAAGAGCTATTCCTTCCTCCCCAAGCTCCTCACACTGCCTCCTTTCCCCCTCCCCTCCCCAGGCCAGCTCACCCATGAAGTTGTAGTTCCAGGAGCCCTGTGCTGGGACCATGAAGAAGCCGAGGAAGCGGTCGGACAGGAGCATCTGCACCCTCTCGTAGTGGGAGGGGAGGTAACCCTTGGGGTTGTTGCCCTTGTCCGTGTTCTGCCGGCCCCACTCGTACCCGCTCGGGGTCAGCTTGTAGGCTGTCAACGTGCAGGAGCCAGGGGTGAAACTGAAAGGGACAAGACATGAGGCAAGTCAGACTCACCTGGGGCAGAGGAGGGAAAGCAGGAATGAGCCAACATTCCCTTTCTGCCAATTTTATTTTGAGTTCCCCAGCTCTGCAGCAGAAGGCTCCCTGCCCCTCACCTGCAGGTGATGATGATGGTCTTCTCCCCATCCCAGGAGGGGTTGTCAGCCATGACCTTGGCGTGGGTGGTGACATCCTGTGGTGACAGCTGAGGGGACTCGTTTGGTTGGGTGTGAATCCATCCCAGAGGTTCCATTTCCTGACAAAAAGAGAGTGGTTTAGGGAAAAATCAAAACCATTTAAAATGAGACCACTTCAAGCCTGGCAAAAAGGACACAGATTACAGGCTTCCCCCTCACTTGATCTCAATCAAGTTTGACTTCAGACTGAGCCCTTTCAGTCCTACAACTACAAAAGACCAAGGGAAGCTGCTCCACCACCTCAGATCCTTGTCACTGACCTCCCACCCACCCTGGAAGCTGAACCTCAGCCCACCTTGAGATACTCATGCTGTGGCAGCTGCCCTGGGAGGTGCACGGTCTGGTGTGTCCCCCACTGGGGCACCATCACAATGCACCGGATCTCCTTCACCTGGGGGTTGTCTGGAGGGCTCACTCCATACAGGTAACCTGCAATCTAAAACACACACACCTGCCTTAGAAGGCCAGAAGAGATCTCTGTGTAGCTTTAATTTCTGAGCAGAGCATCAGAGGGATTCATGTGGACAAACCATAGCAGGTTCCCAGCCCTTCACCAAGAGTTTCCCCCCTGATGTGTTTGACTGGGGCAGAACTGTAACAAACACCCTGCACACTCACCTGGGCCCGCAGGTCTGAGATGCAGATGAACTTCTTCAACACATTTTTGGGAAGAATGTAGGTGTAACCTGTCTCCTTTATGTCATCTGATGAGACATAGATGTGGTTTGTCCGCAGGTGGAGGTTGGCAGCAGAGATTGCTCTGTGAGGAGGAGACAGTGATCAGAGGGGGCACAGATCCTCCCTGAGCATTCCAACCCTTTCCAGCACCTCTGCCTGCCTTCCTACCTGACCCTCCACTCAGTCTTGGAGGAGAAGGTCTGGGTTTCGTAGTTGCTGGTGGTGGAGGTGATGATTTCATCCCCGTGTTTGTTCACCGTGCGGGTCTGCGTGGCCGTCAGCTGCGACTGCTCCTTGGTTTGCTTCTCAATTTCTGCAATCTGCTGCCTCTGCTGAGATGGGGCAGAGATCTCCATGCCCAGGATGATGTCTCTGATCTCTGACTGGGTCAGGGATGCAACGTTCACGCTGGAAGAGAAAATTCACCCGAGTCAGGCATTTCAAAATACATTCTGGAGCCTTCTCACCTTCAGGCGCAAGCTCAGAACACCCACTCTGGGCACTTGGAAAAAATTAAACCACAACTTTTTTAAAAAAAGAGGGGCCATGATCACGTGATGCTCAGATCAAAGATTTGGTGCTGACATTTTTATCTGCCTTACCAGAAGGTTATTAAAATTAACCAGATCCCCTACAAAGCTGAGAGTGCATTGACAAAGGCCCGTGGCCACGGCCTTTAGGGCAGGAAGGAAAGGCTGGCAGGATTATGCCTTACTTGTTCTTCTTGCCATAGTCAGCAAGGATGAGATCCTTCAGCTGCACCTCCACCTTGATCCACTCCTCATCTGTCAGGGTTGGCCAGATGTGGTGAGGCTCAGTGATGGTTGTCTTGTCTGGCTTCAGGATAACTTTGGCTCGATCGTTATTCACGTGTAGCGCCCGGAGAATCAGGATCAGACGGGAGAATGCCTTGGAGATGAAAAGAAGATGGAGTTAGAAAGAAGAAAATTAAATGTACAAGGCCCTAGTACAGCATTCCTCTGTTTGAGCACATGGGAATTGCCAGGGAAATCCATCTAAAGAAAAATCCAGGCAGGTTCAGAGCCAAGTGCTCCCAAACAATTCATCAGGGATATCTGAGGCCTTGGTTCCTTGCCTCATTTATCAGCAGCAAAGCAAAATGCAGGAGACACATCTGTGCTTACTGTGTAGGAAGAGATGGTTTTCAGCCAGTCATCATAGAGATTGAAGAGAACCATCTGGGGTTCAGTGGCCTTCAGGATGAGATCACCAAACTTCTCCACTTTCAGACAGGCCTGGAAGGGCAGCTGCAACTCCGAGCCTTTGATCACAATATTGGGGAAATCCAGCAAGTGCACCTGGAGTTTATCAGAGGAATTAGCTCACAGCTACTGCAGAACATCACAGGACACAGAACTGTCATCTCCCACAGATTTTACACATCCTCAGGGAGCTGCAGCCTTACCTCCAGTGGGTCCAGCATGCCTTTCCGTGTCACTATGATCTGCTTTGGCTGCTCCTCCACGGGCAGGGACCGGATCAAGGCAGCCACTTCTTCAGCAGTTTTCCACTTGGCCAGCTACAGAAAGACAGCAGGGTTAGAGAAGTGTCCCCCTGCTCTCCAGCAGAGCCTCCATGTCTCTGGGAACCAAAGGGACACAAACCAAATTCTAAAAATACAACTGGAATTTATGGTTTGCTCCAGATCAGTGACAAGACCCAGCATTTCCTCCTTACTGATCACAGAGGGCAGCTCCCATTCCTGGAGCTCAGTTACTCCTGAGTGGCTCAGAAAACAACAGCTGGCTACTCCATCTCCCTGGATTTGCCACCTGAGCTGTCTCACTGCACTGCATGTACAGCCAAGTGCAGAGTGAATTCTGTAACAAGGAGCAGAGCACTGCTCCTCGAGCTCTGCTTGATGATGTGGGGTCTTTACACCTCAGAGCCTCAAAGTCCTTGCAGCAGCAACGCCTGTGTTCCTCCACTTTTACATCCCATCCTCCTGCCTGCCTGATCACTTGGACTTTGGAGCTCCAAACTCATTAAGAGGCAGGAAGATGAAGATCTTTGTGATGTTTTCTGCTCAAGGGAGTGTCCCAAGCAGTCAGAGCCCAGCCCCAGTCCACACCCAAGGCACGGCCAGGCCCTACCTGTCCCAGACGCTTCTGTCCTGCCCACACAGACGTGTGGATGATCTTCAGGAAGAGCTGCCCAGTTCTGGGATTGAAGATGAAAATGGCTCCGTTGATGGGTTTTGTGGTCAAATTCCCTTCAAAAGTCTGAGGGAAAAAGTGAGAGTGAGAAGTGCAGGGAGATAAATGGAGCCCACCCCCACCTTTGCACAAGAGCCAACTCTCTGTGTGCTTTGAGCAGGAGCTGTGTGGGAAATGTAAGAGCTGCTCTGTGCACTCTGCAAAAATCTGGGTCCATGTGTTGACTCCCAGATTTCCATCACACGTGGAAACCTCCACCTCATTCAGTCCTTTCCCTGAGACACCCTCAGGCCTCACCTTGTGGATGGTGACTCTGTACACGTTGGTGTCATCCACAAACCAGATGATCTGGTTGGAGAAGAGCTCCCCATAGTTCTGGGAGGACAGGTAGGGCTCCGTGGGCTCTGAGGAGTAGAGCTGCAGCCCTTTGCGGATCCGTTCCCTCAACACATACAGGGCAGGGTTTGCTTTCATGATTTTGGCCATGGCCTGCTGGATCAGAGGTTTGCTCCCAGGGAACCAGTTCCCATAAGCACTGAAGGACGAAACAAACAGAAGTTATTACCATTAGACCTGAAGAGGCAACAGCCCCACTCAAGTCTTTCCATGCAGCAGCCAGGCCCCTTTGTACTGCTGCAAATACAGATCTGTACTGCAGTGTGACTTCTGTAATGCCCCTGGGAGGTGGGCACCTGTGGCTTTTACCTACACCCACTCAGTGGGAAGCCACAGCACACACATGCTGCAGTCCCAGAAAAGCTGCACCTTCTCTAACAAACACACTGGAGAACTGACTTCT